TATTTTTTCCAAAGAGCATATTTAATCCTGGCGGGGATATATAAACAAAGCTCGGCCTTTAACCATCAATGTATTTTCATGAGGCCATTGTGTGTACGTGGCTATATCTGCAAGAGACAATATTAATAATATCTGTCATATTTTGCAGTTCGGATCGGAATATCCGTCCCGAGGTGACCCGCCCATTGGGCGGTAACGAGGCTTGCCGAGTTACCGCCCATGGGCGGGTGACCGAGGGACGGATATTCCGATCTGAACCGCAAACATATGTCAGATATTTTTTCTTGCATATTACTACCATATTCCATTATATATTAAATTCTTTATTCTTATTTTTCAATGAAAATTTATATCATTACAACCGTAACTACTTCTTGCAAAAGCGTATTGAATTACAACTTCATAATATGTAACGGTAAAATGACGTCATCCTAACCGTGCCATTGTACAGCACGCGACTCATCTGGAACCCCCCATGCCAGATGAAATTTCCGGCATGGGTAAAACTCATGGAAACGCCAGTCTGATATGCAAGAAATAGTCATCTCAGTTTTTACATGGAACCATAATATGATTCGTGGTTATTGTCAAGAGGCAATGTACAGCTCGTTTTGAAGCCATAAAAAATAAAAGTATATATTGATATGATAATATTAATTAATATAGTCCGAGACGTTAGCCAATTTTATTTTCATAGGGCTATAAGAAGCAATTATATACGAATTATCATAATAAGTCTGACTGGACAACCATTCCCTACGATCACCACTGTTCTTTATATGTAATGTAAGATTTTTTTCCATTTGATAGAGTTCTACAATACTTTTTAAACGTACCGTAATAAGCTGTATGATAGGCGGACCGAGGAAGAAAATACACAGATTTAGTGTTCTAGTGCCCAGCGGTTGATTGCCCACAATCACTGTAGCGATTGATCGCCATAAGAGAGACCCGTTCAGAAAATACAATATCCCAGTCAGATAGGCCTACTTTCGATTTCAGGAAAATATTTTTTTGAAAATTATTATCTATATTACCCGATGATGTCAAGAAAATAAAGATGACGGTAAGAATAAAATTTTTAACTGACGTATTTCTCTTGAATTTCAGTTTCTTTTTCAAGGAAAGTATTGTTTTCATAGTTTTTTCTGAATGTTAAAACAGAAAGTAGAAACATTTCTAATTTTCTGAAAAGGAATTAGATCTACCAGGTGATTATACAATTGCGTGATAATTCTTTACAATTTAATTCCCGTCAAAATTTACATGATGTATTGATCTTTCGTTTTAACAAATAAATAAATAAATGTTCCTGTCGTTATGGTTATATGCACAGGTGCTAGTGGCATTGATTTGACCCACAGGCGCTAGTCACATAATCAAATATTTTACATAATCGGTCTTTATATGTATATAAAGATATAAGGCCCCCAACGAAACAAAAACATCATGCAGAACAAACAAGAACACTGCTGCAATAAACGACCAGATCACGGTTATCTCTTTCTGGTTGCCATCTGAAAGGATCAATCCAAGTGCCAACGCTTTTTATTTCATTAAAATCCCTCAAATAGCAAAGAAATTGGGAAAAGTTTCGCAAAATGCCATTATTTTCAAGTCATGTCGTTTTCGACGTCCAGTCCATTCATGTATGCACACACGATTTCTGATCGATTTTTACGGGAAAAAAAAACAGCTAAAATTTCCACGTATGTTCCATAAACAAACTCTTTTCCTATCGATCTGCGAAGTCTTCACTGATCAAATGCCCTCTTCGTACGTATTTCATTAAAAAATACACAAGGATCTCGCTTGTGACAGTATTTTATCGCCATGTATAGCGCATGTATATATACTGTTCCGCTCTGAATATTATATAAGGATTTGATTGGTTAAGATAATTACCGGAATACTATTGACCAATCGTATAATACTATTTCTTTGCTTCATTTATCTGTCACTTCAAATTACAAATGGCGCACTTTACTTGACCTCCGCTTCTACAACCAATATTTTTTAAATATTTGAGTACAAAGAGGGCTCTAGTTCAATTTAGACTTCGCAGATTGATAGAAAAAGAGTTTGTTTATGAATTTTATGAGGAAATTTTAGATGTTTTCTATTTATTTCGTAGAAATCGACCAGAAATCGTGTTTGTATACATGAATAGATTGGACGTCGAAAACGACATGGATTGAAAATATTGGCATTTTCTGAAACTTTTACTCATTTCTTTGCTATTTGAAGAATTTTAATGAAATAAAAAGCTTTAACGCTTGGATTGATCCTTTCAGATGGCGACCAGAAATAGATAACCGTGATCTTGTCGTTTCTTTCAGCATTATTCTTGTTTGTTCCGCATGATGTTTTTGTTTCATTGGGGGCCTTATATCTTTATATACATATATAGACTGATTATGTAAAATATTAAGAATTTTTCTTAAAATACGGGCACATAGGACTTAGTGCCACTCGTGGAGGATAAAACCATTTAAAAGTATGTTAAATCCAGTTGTTTGCATGTGAGTTCGACCCGTTTGATCTCTTTGTTGATGTATTTCAAGCGTAAATACCAGCTTACAATGTACATGTCATGACGGTCTCATCTTTCGGACCTGGGTGATTTCTTACTTTCGGGCTTTAAAACATTAACTAGCGGTTAATTGGAGATCTGTAAATAGTAAATTGTAATAGAAAAATATATTATGCATTGATTCCATGCAACAATCCGACGATATTACCGCCCGGTGAAAAATTTTAACACAGATAACCGGCGTACCCATAATTTTCGTACCTGAATGTTGCATACCTAAATGTCTATAATAATATAACAGTGAAAAAAAATTTTTTTTTTTTTTTTTTTTTAATATATTGATATTTTATTGTATAAATAACAAGGTGAACACATTTTATGTCAAATCAATGCCACTAGCACCTGTGGTTATATGCTGAAAAGTTGCTAATGTTGAAAGTTCAACATACACTGATACATGTACATGGTTCTTATTTGGAAACAGGTGAATGGTCTATACTGTACTAGATTCTATTTTAAGTTTTGAATGTATTTAAGTTGAAGAAGAGTCATCAATATCTGAAGCTGAAAGTACATTAAAAAACTGGCAGTGATTTTTAGCTCGACTATACGAAGTATATGGAGAGCTGTCCTACTCGCCCCGGCGTCCGCGTCCAGATTTTAGATTAAAGTTTTGGTGCAGTAAAATATTTTTCACTATAACTTTGTCATTTCTTAAGGTATCAACTTCAAACTTCAAATATATGTTCCTTATCATCAACCACATCTTATGTGACAAGGTTCATAACTCTAGCACCAATATTTTCAGATTTATCTCCCCTTGAACTTAGAATTTTCCATAAAAAATATTATTTTTTACTGTTACTTATTTATTTCTAAAGGGATCAACTTCATACTTTAAATATATTTACGTTATCATCATCCACATCTTATGTGACAAGGTTCATAACTCTAGCACCAATATTGCAAGAATTATCTCCCCATAAACTTAGATTTTTTTACTAGAAAAATGTTATTTTTTATTATAACTTTTTTATTTTTAAAGGTATCTACCTCAAACTTCAAATACTTATTCCTTATCATCAATTACATTTTATGTGACAATGTTCATAACTCTTGAAGCAATATTTACAGATTTATCTCTCTTTGAACTTAGGATTTTCTTTAAGAAATATAATAACTTCTTTACTTTTTAAGGTATCTACTTCAAACTTCAAATATATATTTCTTATCATTACACAAATGTTGTGTGACAAGGTCCATAACTCTAGCATGACTATTTCTAGAATGAATTATTCCCCTTGATCTTGGAATTTATGTTAACAAATGTTATTTTTTTAACCATAACTTAATACATAATTATACATAATTGATTTTTCTTTCATAGTTTTGTCCTCCTTACTGCGTCCAGTATTTTATTAGTCGAGCTTCGCTGTCTCCTGTGACAGCTCTTGTTTTTCTTATTTACTATTTTTGTCTTATTTCTTTTTTTTTTCTTATTTCTTTTTTTCATTAATTTTGTTTTTATTAATTTACATTTGTTTATTTTCATTTTTTGGCTACAAATCGTGTGGAAATCCTATGCCCGACTTGTCCGACTCCAGTCTTTATGCTTTAGATTTTCCTTAGAACTTGTCCAAGGACAAGTGAAAATATATGAACAGTAGGAAAAAACAAAACAAATGCTGAATCAGTAATTAAGTGCCCAACTAGAAAAAATGTTTACTTTAATTGTAGAATAAATAAAAAGAATAACGATCATGAAGCTCAAGCCTACAATGTATGATCAGATTAAATAAGGATGAAGTTTTGACATGATTCATTTTTTTCATTGCATACATTCCATAATTTCTAGGTAACTTTCTGGACCACTTTGAATAGGTGTGGGGGTGTCTGGGTGGGAAGTCTTTGAGAAAGCAGATTGTTTCTAGAATTTGCACAGTGGCACACAACCTAGATAACCAGTATTTGCAACTAGCCATTTCATGTGGTAAAAATAGCTGAAACGATCACTGATTCCTTGATAATCTCATATTTAGCAGTAATTTTGACGGTGTTCTAGCACTAAGTGGAATTCAATTTAAATTTGATCACACATACCTTAATCAAGCAAAATAAAAGCAATCACTATTGATACAGCTTAATTGTCTCTTTAATGAATCCAAATCACTATCATTGATTTGTATCAGAAATACCAAGTTTTAAATTTTGGTTGATGTTGAAATTAACTGACAAAGATTACAATTTGTTAGCTTTAGCTCATTTTTTTGTGCCAATGAGAATGCCTAAATTAGAATTTTTTTGACATTCTGATAAGTCTATTCAGCATAAACTGCCTGCAATAGGGTTAATTTAACCATTCAAATAAGCACCACTTTGATCTGGATAAACACTATGTATGCTTACAAAAAGTAGGTTCAAAACTTTGAAATAGTTGAAAGCATGTAAAGAAAAAGAAACAAAATAGCCATTTCTTTTTAATGTTTTTAGGTGAACTATTGTGTCCAGCATCTGAACATTTAAACAAGATCTACTCTATAAAAAGATTGCTCAAATGGTTCCAGTCTACTGAACAAGATGGTGGCCAGTAATAAAAATAGAAAATCTCCTCTAAAACTGTTGGGTATATTTGGATGAAACTAAATAGCAAGGAATGGTCATTTATGGAGAGTTGTCTATTATAATTGCTCAGTCTGCTGAACAGGATGACCGTCAGTTAAAAATAGGAAAAAAATGTTATATGAGATTTTGTTCATAACTGCCAGATAGATTTTGAGAACACTCAATAAAAATAATGATTGGGCAACCCTTTACTTAGGCTGTTAAAATAATAAATATACTGTTGTGCTGATTAAAATGGCTTCCAGAGTTAAAATAGAAAAAAAACTTTAAACCACATCTCCTACTATCAGGTAGATTTTGATGAAACTTAGAATACAGGAATGATCCTTGGATAGTCTTCTACAAACATTGCTCAAATGGTTTTGGTCTGCTGAACAAAATGGATGCCAGAGCTAGAAAAAGAAAATTCTAAAATGATCTCAAGACAACATATTCTCCTTAACTATTTCTATTAATTGACAAATTCTATTAATTGTGTGATACAAATATTTAATGGTAAAACAGTTAACATATTATAGTCATTCAGATATGTATTACATGCACTTACAATATACTTACAACACATAGTACTAAAACTGATTTGCCTATGTTAGATTTTCAATACATTCTATTTCAGAATGTATTATGAAATGACAATAATTATTGTAACAAGGAAGTTGTTTACTAGTCATATTGGATGTTTGCCAACTTTTACATTTAATATTTCACTCTGTATAAATGTCATTTGATTTAAAATATCTAGGTGGTTAAGTTTAAGATAAAAATTTTAGTGATTGAAGTACATGCAAGTATCAACTGATAGAATAGGATGTTTTTATCAAGATAACAGTTAAAGGTTATCATCATTAAAGACCCATTATACTTTTAAAATTCTAAAGTATCAATTTATTTTTCAAAAGCTTTCTATTTTTGATGTCAAATGTGATGTTTCAGTTTCCAAAAAGTTAATTTTTGGCCATTTACCTGTGCCATCTTTTGCTTCTTTACTGTTTTGTCAATTATTACAGTGATAGTGATTAAATATTTTGTATGGAATTAAAAATTCTTTTCAATTATTACAGTGATACACTCAACACAATTTCCTTCAGGTGATTATCATTCCACATGTTTTAAATCTATTACAAGGTAAAATATAAAAGACTTGTATGCCTTTTCTAATAAGAGTAAACTTTATTCATTAAGTATAGATACACCATGAGGCACATTTTTACTACAAATGCAGGACCAATATGAACTTCTCCAAAACATTATTAACAAAAAACCCGGCCATTATGAAGAAACTCCTTCTTTATGAAAAAACTCGGTTATCATGAGATCCAAGCCTTCTCATTGGCTGACCATCTCGGCCATTATGAAACTACATCTATCCATTTGGGCGTGAAGAAAAAAGTAGCCATCTTGAATTTTCTGAACTTAAATTTAGATTCTTGTTTAATCAATTTTAACATCAGATGTTTTTGAGATATCCTAATGTAAATGCATAATAATTTTGCTGACTAAGGATGGGTTAAGATCCTGACAGGCTTACTGTATACAAATAATTATTAAATCAGACAACACTGTGTATATAATGTATATGAATAGACTTTAAGACTTGGAATTTTTGTTTGTTGATGTTTATGTTTAGTACTTTTATTTCATTAAAAATTTGAAATTTCCTCATTAATTCCTCATTAATTGTTACTTGTTATACCCCCAAAAACGAAGTTTGGGGGGTATATAGGAGTCACCCGGTGGTCGGGCGGTCGGTCGGTCCAGACGTCCGTTGCATTTTCCTTGTCCGGAGCATAACTTGAAGACTAATGGTTGGAATACAATATAACTACATACAATGGTCAAGCACATTGAGAGGAAGTGCAGTGCACAAGAACCATAACTCTATCTTGTCTAATTACAGAGTTATTGCCCTTTGTTACTTTTCCTTGTCCGGGCATAACTTGAAAACTACTGGTTGGAATTCAAAACAACTTCATACAATTGTCGAGCACAATAAGGGGAAGTGCAGTGCACAAGAACCATAACTCTATCTAAAGTAATTACAGAGTTATTGCCCTTTGTTACTTTTCCATTGCTTTCTTTTGTCCGGACCATAACTTGAAGACTAATGGTTGGAATTCATTATAACTTCATACAATGGTCAAGCACATTGAGAGGAAGTGCAGTGCACAAGAACCATAACTCTATCTTGACTAATTACAGAGTTACTGCCCTTTGTTACTTTTCCTTGTCCGGGGCATAACTTGAAAACTACTGGTTGGAATTCAAAACAACTTCATACAATTGTCAAACACAATAAAGGGAAGCGCAGTGCACAAGAACCATAACTCTATCTAAAGTAATTACAGAGTTATTGCACTTTGTTACTTTTCCATTGCATTCTTTTGTCCGGACTATAACTTGAAGACTAATTGTTGGAATTCATTATAACTTCATACAATGGTCAAGCACATTGAGAGGAAGTGCATTGCTCAAGAATCATAACTCCATCTTGACTAATTACAGAGTTACTGCCCTTTGTTACTTTTCCTTGTCCAGAGCATGACATGAAAACTACTGGTTGGAATTCAAAACAACTTCATACAATGGTCAAGCACAATAAGGGGAAGTGCAGTGTACAAGAACCATAACTCCATCTTGACTAATTATAGAGTTATTGCCCTTTGTTACTTTTCCATTGCTTTCTTTTGTCCAGAGCATAACTTGAAGATTAAAGGTTGATATACAATATAACTTCATACAATGGTCAAGCACATTGAGAGGAAGTGCAGTGCACAAGAACTATAACTCCATCTTCAGTATTTATAGAGTTATTGCTCTTTGTTCCTTTTCCTTGTCCAGAGCATAACTTGAAAACTACTGTTTGGAATTCAATACAACTTCATACAGTTGTCAAGGACATTAAAAGGAAGTGCAGTGCACAAGAGCCATAACTCCATTTTGACAAAATACAGAGTTACTGCCCTTTGATACTTTTTCCTTGTCCGGAGCATAACTTAAAAGGTACTGGTTGGAATTCAAAACAACTTCATACAATGGTCAAGCACATTGAGAGGAAGTGCAGTGCACAAGAACTATAACTCCATCTTCAGTATTTATAGAGTTATTGCTCTTTGTTCCTTTTCCTTGTCTTTCTGGACTTATTACAGAGTAATTCAATAAAACTTCATTAATGGCCAACCACATTGATAGGAAATGCAACATACAAGAACCACAACTATCTTTAATTGCCCACAACCATAACTATATTTCAATTCTTTTACAAGGTATTCTGTTACTAGTAACATCCTCATTTCCGAAGCAGTATTAATCACATTTAGTGATAGTTCTAGTTAACTATCTATTATGAAAACACTTAATAAATAACATTCTATTATTAATTTCTGATAAATATTTATGTGCATTTAAATTTTGCTTATTTTAAATAAAATTTATTATTTATATAAAATTGACCAGTAAGACTGTCTTGACATAAATTTGTTTTTGTAAATGATACGAAAAGTCTTGTGGTTATAACTGTTAATTGTTTCCATAAGTATTTACCACAGTCCTATTTGATAAAGAAAATGTTGGCATGCAGATTTTTGTTGCAAAATTTAATTTACAAATACCCTTATGTTTGCAATGATAATTTTTGTGATATCAATACATATATTCTGTATTATGATTTTTGGCAGTCTGACAGGGTTTTCTGAATACTGGTTATTAGATTGCTGACTGTCTGAGAGCTGGCAGACATAAACAATTGTCTTTTGTGCACAAATCCTACATTCCTGACAACAGATTTCAACAAATTCTTTCATGAATCTTTTCTCTTTTGTTGTTGTTGTAAAATTGCTTTTAAACTTCCCTACCCAGTCCTCAAAATTTATTATTAAAATGGTAATCAAACGATTGTAACAAAAAGTATTGTTTAATTTATTAAACTTAATCTTTCATAGGAAATATTGTCACCAAGTGTATGCAATGCCCTGGAAAACTTTTTCATGGTTTTGTGATTTGTCATAAAATGTTATGTAATTTAAAGTTATATCAGTAGTGCTAAGCAGTTTCATATTAAACATTAAACAAATTGTTTTGGTTGTTATAGAAACATGTTCAAAGAGAGTTACATAACAGACAAAGAAAACTCTTTGTCATTTGCAAGATATCATATTACATGTACATCTATGAATATTTTGATAGACACCATAGACACTGTACACTATTATACTGGAAAGTTATATGTGGTGAAAACTACCTTTTGATTTAAATGAAGTAGGACATTTGATCCAGTGTGCATGGTAAAGTTATTATCCAAACTTGCTCTAAATTTTCTAGGTGTAATTTTGATATATTTTCAAGGACAATTAGTATTTACATGTATACATTTTCATAAAAGACCTGCAACACCTGACTTCAGATAAACCATGATTTTATTTACTTGTCATGATGTACTCCCAGCATACATGTTTATGAAATTGGTTCATAATGTGCAGTAACTTTTTCAGGGTTAATAGTTCAAGAAAATGGCGGATACTGGTGGAAAAAATCCCAAGGATGCTAATAGTGGAGCAACAAGGTCTCATGCTGAAGATGGAGGTACTGTTAATGTTAATTTTAAATGAGATATTGTAGCTCTTGGTCTAATTCCTTTTCTGCTTAAATTGTTAATTATTAATATGTATATATAATTACCTTGAATAAAAATATGTTTAAACCAATTTTCAATGAAATGTTACACATAATCTTGAAAATCAAAAAATGGACCAAAAAAACAACAACCATAGAATGATTTAATAGATGTTGGTGAGATTGCTTATTATCTGAAGGAGAAGCCTTTTTGCTCATGGATCTCTGGGCGAACATTAGATGGTCTTAATTGCAATTTTTGGATTCTGACTGTTGTAAAAATAAATGTGGGACTTGAAATAATATCAGACTTTAATTAATACACTGTGCAGTAATTTTATTCTGTTGTATTAAACATTTTATTGAATATAGTTATGATGTACAAGCAGTTATTGAGAAGCGGTTTAATGTCATTTTGCAAAAAAAACAACTGATCTATATGAATAAAAATCAGAATTTTGTAAAAAGCCAAGCAATACCCTACATGGAGGAATGGGCAAACACAGTGACCCTTACTACCAGTTTGAATTAAACTTAATATATCGATGTGTTCATTTAGTTTGTGATTAGTACGGTAACTTAACATAATATTTTTGAATATTTACAGGTAATGCAAAACAGGTTCCCAACATGTCAGTACCGACAGATAGGTCTACAAAGAAGGAGACGGAAGAAAAGGTTTACATAATTTTATAACTAACCTGAATACAAAGTGCTCAAGATGAGCTTTTGTGATGACAATACACATTTAATTTAAACAATATCTCCTAAAACACACTATGGATTTTGACCAAACTTCACAGGAATGATCCATAGGTGGTCCTGTACAAAAATTATACAAAATTTAATGGTGATACATAAGTATGACTTAAGAGCTTAAAAATACACAATTGCCTATGTAACTACATGATGTACAATGCCCAATTTTTTTAAGAAGAGTACACAGCTGTGAAACCTATATTGAACAGTGCTGTCTGAGTTACATATAAGTTTTTGCACCACTGTAGGTGTCCAGTAGAATCAGTATTCTAGCTCTCTTTATAGTATTGTATTCAACAATGTTTCTTTCAAACCATCAAATTTTTGAAATAATCAGCAGAATTTATTAGAACTTATTACTTCAAGTATAATAAAGATTTCATTACTGAAATGGAATTGAGGCAAGATAGAATTCAATAGTGATTCGATTTTAAATTTTTGAAGTTGGAAAAATGAAAATAAGGCTAGTTGGAGTACATTTATGTTTTGATATGGATATATTTTGGACAGAGAAAATTATAATGAAGCTAAATGGATAAAATGATGTACAATAGAGATATATTCTTGGAGAGAAGATGGTGCAAATACTACATTTGAACCTGCAAAATTCCTCTAATTGTAAGGCAAATGATTTTCCTTGATTTCTTAAATACTTTGTTTTTTTATTGCTGTCTGTGATATGTGGGCTTTGTAAGCCTTTGATGTCCTGTCAAAATTATGTATTTCAAGATCTTGTCAAGCTCACCTGTGCACAAAGTGATCGAGTTGAGCTTTTGTGATCACACTATGTCCGGCTTCAATTGTCAGTGTTTCTGTTGTCAACTCTTTTTTCAAAAGATTTCTCTCCTGAAACCATAAGGTCAAATTTGTATTTTTTCCTGGGTTGTTCCAGCTAGCATGAAGCTCTTAAAATGTTCAAATGATTTTGCTCTATTGAACATCTTTGTCAGAAGGGCTAGAAAATAGATTTGAAATTGTTTAAATTATAGCTCTGGAGTCATTATTGTTACCCTGGGGGCGGGGTCATGACTTTTCCTTATAATTATAGCTAATACGTAATAGGCTAAAAAAAATGTACTAAAATGCTGTAAGGGCAAAATCTAGGATATAAGCCATGAAAAATGGACCTCTACCAAGTTTTCTTTGGGGGTTCATGGATTTCATGGATTTTTCTTAAATGTACATTTATATTATAAATATTTTCTATATAACCATGAAGGCTAAAAATTAACTTTTGGCATGAAACATTGTCAAGTGAACTTCTGTCAAGTTTGTTAAAATAAAGCCATGTGGTCTAAATTTGACTCTCCCTGGGGATTCATAGATTTTCTTATATGTATATAGTGAAAACTTTTATTCTTTTTACTACAAAACCATCAAGTCAAAAGCTGAGATATTTGGCATGAAAATTTTTCTTGTGGATCACTTCCAAGTTTCTTTAAATTGTAGCCTTGGAGTTTAAATTGGCCCATGAATTTTCATTGTATGAAAATGGCCAAAATTTACAAGAGAAAGAGTTTAGATATTTGATATGAAACATTATATTATAGACCTCTACTAAATTTAATTAAATTATAGTGGTGAGGCAAAATTAGCTTCACCCATGAAGTTGGGGGGGGGGTGGTCATGAATGTTCCTGATATGAATATCAATCAGTTACTTCCATTGCAACCATTGACTTCCACAGCAATTATAGACTTTCCATAGCAACCGATGACTTACATAGCTACCATTGACTTCTATAGCAATTATTGACTTTCCATAGTGACCTTTGACTCTCCATAGCAACCAGTGATTTGTCATAGCATTAGCAACCATTGACTTTCCATAGTAAATAGTGACTTTCATGGCAAACAATGCTTTTTCCAAACAATCAGTGACATTCATAACAACCATTGACTTTCCATAGCAACAGGTAATTTTCATAGAAACCAGTGACTTTCTGTAGTAATCAGTGACTTCACATTGACTTCCATAGCAACAATTGACTTTCAGTAGCAACCAGTGACATCTGTAGCAATAACTGAGATTCCATTGCAACCATTGATGTGTATTTCAACCAGTGACTTTCCATAGCAAGCAGTGACTTTGATGATAACCGTTGACTTTCAATAGCAACCATTGACTTTTTGTAGCAACCTGTGACTTCCCATAGTGGATGGATGTTGTTATATAATTATCAGTATAAGAACAAGCTCAATAAAAAAAAACATGCAACATTTTCAGTTTTGCTTTGTTTAGCAACCATTAATATAATATTTTAAATATGGAAAGAATCATCTTGGGATATTGTAAAACATACTGTTGCTGTTTCTGACTAAACCATATTCAAAATTTAAATGTGAAGTCCTATGTGTCTATGGAGCATCTTATGAAAAGCAGCATTTGATGTAAAATGTATGGGTTAAATATTATGCATTTACGTAAAATCCTTGCTCTAGTGACAGCTTTATTTGAAAAAGGGCAATAATGTATGAAATTGTGGATTTTGTACTATTTTTCTTTACAAGATGTACTTAGAATCATGTAAGTCAAATTAATGTTACTGTATTTATTTTATATAACCCATATTTTTTCAGCAAAACAAAAATGGTAAATTAAGCCCATGTGCCAGTACTAGTGCAACCAAACAAAGTGGTTCAAATGCATTTGTCAATGCACAGAGAGCTAAATATGAGCGGCATAAGAGGGAGGGTTGTAAAACAGAAGGAACTACAGGTAATTCTTCTGTGGAAAGTGGTTTAAAAGGGGAACAAATGCCAGCAACAACTGCAGGAGGCTCAAATTATGGTGCAAGTAGCTCTGGCCATGATAATTTATGCATGACTTGTATTACATGACATGTCTCCCATGTCTTACAAATGGTTCATCCTTAATAAAACAAACAATTTCGGGCATATATGCTGCGCCTAGCGGTGCTCTTGTTTTGATGTTAAATTATCATTATACATTTGCTTAAATTAACATAATTTTGTAATGTATTTACAGATTTAAATTCATACAAAAGAACACATATGACAAAACAGTCATTTGAATGATTCTTATATGACCGTGACCATTATATCACCTTGACATTTTAAAATTAAAATTTGCTTAACATTATTTACTTACAGATTTGATTCATTCTCTGACAAAAGAACACACATGATAATACTGAGTTGTTTAATTTTACTGATATGACCTTAACCTTTAATTGACTTTGACCATCAAGGTCAAATTATTGAAATTTTCTTATATTTTTATAACTTTGTTTTTTTTTTTATTTATGGCCCCTTGCTGTAAATGGTTAAGGCATAACAATTGCAGGCACCAATTTTCTTTGCGTGATCATAAGAGGTAGCTTAAATGGGTTTGAAAAACTGGAGTCTGTGCATCTTTTAGGTCAAGTAGGTGTCCCTGGTGTTGCTTTGAAGTTAGTAACACCAGAGGTTGGCCAAAATTATTTTTCCAGTTTCGGCGCCATACAAGCCATACTGTATTTCTGCACTGTAAAACTAAACAAACAAACATAAAAGCAAACATAAATCTAGACAAAGGAACACATAATGAGAAAACTGACATGTTACTCTTTTATTGACCTTGACTAACAAGGTCAAGTTTGAAATTTGAATTTTATTTGATATATGTAAGATTTGTATAAATAGTCTTTCTGTAATATTTTTCCTTTGCTGTGTTTGACTTCAGAAATAAGAACAAAAATGAGCAGGTCCTGCTAGGTGGTGCCTCTTAATTACTCAATTTGATTGTATAAGGTTGCCGTCCATAAATACAGACACCCAAAGGTGTTGTTATTGTGACTTTAACACTGAGCAAGTTTCCAGTACTTTCAGCATTTTGATTGTTTATTACAGCACTATCTCTTCAAAGAGATGACAAAGTTCTTGATAACTCAGGTACACATTTATCAGAATCAAACAGTGTAGAAATTATTTCAGAAGAAGATCATGAGGAACAAATGAGAGATGGGGACAATATTTCAATTCAGTCTTTTAATATGACAAGCATGACACAAATTCCAGGTGATAACAACACAGAGCTTAAACCAAACACAGAGCTGTGCTCTACACTAGGAACAGGTGATGAGATTGTTCATGGTGTTAACAATGCTGCAAAATTGCCTGAGACTCACAATGCTGAAGGTGAAAAAGAAATTAAGCATTTTGTAAAATTTGAAGAACATAAAACAATACAGCAATTTTCAGAGACACCTGTTTTTAGCATACAGAAGGTTGGCGATTGTTATTTACTTTATAAACAAAATTATCCGCCAGTGATATTACCTGAGCTGGAAGGAGCTTCAAATGTAAGTGTTTCGAAAGATATGATCTTTATTCACAATGTCCCAAAATATTTGATAAAAATAGAGAATGAAATGGTAACAGTATCTGAATTAGGAGTTGCTAAATTTGAAGTTAAAAGAAGTGAAAGCAATAACACAAAAAGATCAGGACAGGATCTGTCTGCAGAAATTCAGGAGCAAAAAGGAGATGAAGAAGGATTGGAAATGAAAAAAGTAAGGGGAACAACTCAAGATATGCAAAATGTTTTGAATCCACCACAAGAGAATGATACAAATCCATTGGACCATCAAGATACAGTAACTGATGTCAATACTGGCGGCTCATCTAGTGACGATGTAAAGAAAGAAGAAGCAAAAGCAGATGTTGATGATGAGCTAATTTGCAAGCTTCAAAGAATGGAATTAAAAGGTATTCATTAATTAAGCATCATGCCAGAATAAGAAACATGCCTTAAATAAATAAAGCTGTAGATCATTGAATGTTTTTTACAAAAACTGTAAAGGAATTATTTTGTAAAACAAAGAATGTGACAATTGTTTGAATTTCTTCTGTTTTGATAATTATGATTATTGGTATAAAACTTTGTGCTGGATTTATATATATACTCTGAATATATGATTTGATAGAATGAAAAGTTACAATAAAAAATCTGATAAACAGTTAAAATCTTGTATTTAAAGTTTCAATTTTTTTTTAATTTTGTAGATGCTCCGGGACAACAACAGCAGTCATTAGAAGAAGCAGTATGTAAGGATGAGAAACCACCTATACCAGCCCCTAGATCTAAAAATAAAGGTATGCTGTGTCACCTTATTCTTTGACCTAGCATTACAAACATAGTTTTGTGTTTTTGTCTGAAGATAGTAATCATTTAGCTTACATTTGGTACTGTTTCATTTGATATATTTGTATATGAGTTTAGCCTTTGTGAGAATTTATAACATGTATAATTACAGGCAACTTGTCCTTTCATCACTCCTCTCCAACATTTGCAACTGAAACCCATGTGTTTGTAGTTTCATATTATGAAAATTGAAATTATTGGAAGTTGATATTTGACTTTTGATGGTTCCCAATGGAGACACATATTACAATGTAGACACTGTTTTGTCTATCTGTCAATTCATCTGTCCCTCTGGATCCATATATTAGAATCTCTCCACCCATTTGTCTTGAAACTTGGCTGAAATGTTTATATGAAAAGGAATTTGAGGATCACCAACTTTTGTCAGGTCAAATTATTTTATTTTATTATAATGGTCATAACTTTGTTTTTCATTTATTTTATTAATGTGATTCATTCTTTAATTGTCATTTATTTATTGTTAGTAACTATTAGTTATAATGGACAAATTAGATTTATACTTGGACAAAGATTACTAGTAGACAACCTTGACATGTTGAATGATTAAGATATGACCTTATGTAAATGACCTTAATCTGTAAAGGACCTTAACTGTCAATTTTAATCATATTTTATACATGAAAAGAGTGTTTTCTTGGAGCATTCATTACTGATCCATTACTTGACAACCCATGGGTTGTTGGCCCTCAAACTTAGTAGGTGCATTAGACTTCACCAGTAGAAGACCCCTATAGATTTAGGGTCAAGGGGTCAGAGATCAATGTTACAATGACCTTGTAGTTAAAAAGTTTCCTATCAATAACTTGATTAGCTATGGGCTTTTGGCCCTCAAATTTTGAAGGTGCATTGGTCTTGGCCAGTAGATGACCCCTAATGATTTTAGGGTCAGGGGAACAAAGATCAAGGTTGCATTGATCTTGTTTTTCATAATGATCATATTAACCTTGTATGTAAAGACTGCTTCTGACCAATAACTCAACAACTCAAGTTGCCTTGGTTGATATTTTTTTATTAAAACTAAAAATCCTTTTGGTATACACATTTCAAGGTCTTATGTAATATAACAACTTGGCTGTCATTAATGAGGTCTACATAATTCATAAAATTTATGCATATATTATTTGGTGAGATTTAAAATAACTTTAACATAAAATTGCTGCACACAACCTTTGAGGTCACAATTACCTAGTGAGTAGTCATGATCAGTAATTAACCCTCATTTATTTTTGGTCACTAGGTCAAAAGTCAGTTAAATAAACTGATCACATGACTAATTGGCTGCCGATAGGGGGCATACATGTTTTACAAACATATCTTGTTTAAGTAGCATGTATTTCTGTATCATTAATCTTCATTGTAAATTTTAATTTAAAATACTTTCTAAAGAAAATGAAAACAGTATTTCTAACAAGTTACTGCATCATTCAATATGCAGCTCTCCTACTCTTCAAGATTACACAGCCTTTAGATGACTATTGGTTTTAGGTCAAAGATTAAGGTTACCATGGCCAATAAGTAGATGACTACTTTTTTTTGTTTACAGAGATTAACATGAAAATTTGTCGAATAACACATCCTACTATATGTATATACATGTACCAGTATTTGAAATCATTTTTTTCTTGCCATTTCTTTGCAATACTTAGGAAACCCACTTGCTTTTAAACAAGAATTAAATGTAGAGGAGAGTCTGAATGAAGGCTTAAATCTAAATCTAAGATGTTCTGTGAACAAACTACACATGAAAGCCATGTGGTACAAAGATAAAAGGCTGCTGAAACAGAATGAGAGAATCACATTGATATCAAAAGATTTAACCCATACCCTTAAAATACAAAATGTTTGCCTATCAGATGCTGGAAATTACACAGTTAAAATTGAAAATCTGGAGTCAACATGTATATTAATCTACATGTATATTTTAACACATATTAAAAAAGACAAAATCCATCATTCTTTTAAGGTACAAAATTGCAGCATTCATTATGCCACTTCCCTCTTCCTCTTAAAGAAAACTGGGTATATTACTTTACACAGCTTCTAGATGACCATATTGATTTTAGGTCAAATATTAAGGTTACAATGGCCAATTAGTAGATGGCCTCAATTAATTTTTTGTTTACCAAGGATTACATGGAAATTTGTTAGAATAACACATTCTACCATATGTATATGCAAGTATTCAAAATCATTTTTTTCTTGCCATTTCTTTGCAATACTTAGGAAACCTGCTGGCTTTTAAACAAGAATTAAATGTAGAGAAAAATCTGATTGAAGGCTTAAATCTAAATCTAAGATGTTCTGTGAACAAACTACACATGAAACCCACATGGTACATAGATGGGAAGCCACTGGAACAGAATGAGAGAATCACACAGACATCAAAAGGTTTCAGCCATTTCCTTGAGATACAAAATGTTTGCCAACAAGACTCCGGAGAGTACACAGTTAGTATTGAAAATCTGAGTTCAACATCAAAGGTCACAATTAAAGGTCAGTTCATTTTCAAATCACTGTTTAGAAAATTAGCTCAGCAATGCAAAGAATACTTTGACTATTCTCACTTAGGTGACTGTGTGAGAGTTTGCATATCACTTGCTTTTAAGTTTTATGTGCAACTTTTTAGCTCACCTGTCACAAAGTGACAGGGTGACAGGGTGAGCTTTTGTGATCGCTTTTCGTCCAGCGTCCGTCCGTTGTCCGTCCGTCCGTAAACTTTTACTTTAAATGACATCTCCTCATAAACCACCAAGCCAATTTCATCCAAACTTCACAGGAATGCTCCTTAGGTGGTCACCTTTAACAATTGTTCAAAGAATTTAATTCCATGCAGAACTCTGGTTGCCATGGCAACCGAAAGAAATTTTTTAAAATATTTTCTTTTAAAAAACCCAAAGAGCTAGAGCTTAGATATTTGTCATGAAACGTCTTCTAGTGAGTGTCTACCAAGTTTGTTCAAATAAAAGCCCTGGGGTCAAAATTGGCCCCGCCCAAGGGGGTCATTGATTTTTCCTATATGCATATAGTAAAAACTTAAAAAATCTTCTTTTAAAGAACCCAAAGAGTTACAGCTAAGATATTTAGCATGAAACATCTTCTAGTTAGTGTCTACCAAGTTTGCTCAAATAAAAGCCCTGGGGTCAAAATTGGCCCCGCCCAAGGGGGTCATTGATTTTTCCTATATGCATATACATGTAGTAAAAACTTAAAAATCTTCTTTTAAAGATCCCAAAGAGCTAAAGCTTAGATATTTGGCATGAAACATCTTCTAGTGAGTGTCTACCAAGTTTGTTCAAATAAAAGCCCTGGGGTCAAAATTGGCCCGCCCCAGGGGGTCATTGATTTTTCCTGTATGAATATAGTAAAAACTTAAAACTCTTCTTTTAAAGAACCCAAAGAGCAAGAGCTTAGATATTTGGCATGAAACATTTTCTAGTGAGTGTCTATCAAGTTTGTTCAAATAAAAGCCCTGGGGTCAAATTGGCCCCGGCCCAGGGGGTCATTGATTTTTTACTATATGCATATAGTCTTAGGACTTTATTTATCTTGGCATGACAAACAGTAAAGGAAAAGAAGAGCAAAATAGCAACAAACAGCTTTCATTATTGTTCTTTTTTGAGATTTGAAATAAATTTGATTATATAGTAGATAAAAACTATATTAACATTGACCTAAGGGCATTATTCATATGTCAACAATTCACATGTTTCTTTAAATTGTTCCTTATTATTGACCAATCGAAACATCTTCCAAATTCCCTAACTCGAACAATGACTTCGTATATCAGTTATATTATGATCTAATAGTCAAAATGATTTTTAGAATACCAATTGACATATATGATAATTATGTACATCAAATCCGAAATATTGTAAACAAGCATGTCATTTTAACTTTTGGTTTATAAGTACATTTACATACTTTATGTCTAAAGCAACTGCTGATCTTTATATACGAAACAAACAAAATAACATCTATTGTGGTTTTGATAAACTTTGGAAATTGTGCCGATTAACATCGTATGTGTGCACATGTCCTTCTGTTTATGATGAAAATAATTCACTTACATACAGCAGTACTCTCACATACGTTTTTTTTGTATGTAGTTTTCATTTGCATTTTACATATGATGACATATTTTAGAAATGAAGTATCAATAAATATTTTTCTTCTATGTGCTATTATTTTGTTTGCAGGCTTTTACTGATGATTATAGTATTGAACTGAGAACCATGTAATTTGAAACATAAAGTGCATACTTGGTGTAAAAGAAGAAAGTATAAATAACATTTATAACAAAAACAAGTAAAAGAACATAAATGTCAATAATTGCCATTGAAAATAGGTTAATAAATATAAACTACTACAAATCCTTTTGCAAAGTTTTACTATGGATTTCAATAGAATAAGAATAAGTTTGCAACCAAAAATGCTTGAAGTATAAGTCTGCAACCAAAATATGCTTGAACAAGATATTTTTGTGTATTGAACGTTATCTTCGGACTTGCGAACTAAACCATTTGTACTGCATTGACAGAAACATATTTTGTTATTGTTAAATGCAGTTCAAAACTTACAAATTCGAATAAATTAGGAGAATAACCGACCAGAACAGTCACATGTCAAATTTCAAAATATCTACATGATCAGTTTATATCTTCAATAACTTCGTCAAAACAGAATCCAGGATGCTGAAATCTTAAACCGAGTGTAGTACATATATTGCATTATGGAATAGACATACTAATGAACTTCAAAATAACAAAGAAACCCACTTGCCTGGCAAAAATTCGTTCACCCGTTTCAAAAAATCACGCCGTGTTTGCCATTTTGTCAAGTTTGCAACCAATTCGCTCGCTTGAACCAAGTGTGCAACCACTTCATGTCCTGCCCCTTGATATAGAGAACAATAGAGTAGCCACATAAATACTCTCCTGTTAGAATGTCCATCTGTCCGTCCGTCACAAAACTTGTCCGTACTACTCCTCAAAAACTACTGATGCAATTTCATCCAAACTTTACAGGAATGATCAGTACCAAGTCTAGTTGTGCATATTGTCAGCATTTTCCGGTTCAATAATTTTTGTCAGAGTTATGGCCCTTCAATAATTTTTATTTTTAAAGTTTGTCCAGACTACTTCCCTTATACAACTAATGCAATTTCAATGAAACTTTACAGGATTGATCTGTAGCTCAAGTCCTTGCGCATATTGCAGGGCTTTTCCGGTTGAATGATTTTTGGCCGAGTTATGGCCCTTTGATAAAAAGGTGTTTTTTTTCTGTGTGTTGCCAGATACACAAAAGCTTGTCCGGACTACTCCTCATAAACTACTGCTGCAATTTCATCCAAACTTTACAGGCATGATCAGTACCAAGTGTAGTTGTGCATATTGTCAGCATTTTTCGGTTCAATGATTTTTGTCAGAGTTATGGCCCTTTAATAATTTTTATTTTTAAAGTTTGTCCGGACTACTTCTCTTATACCACTTATACAATTTCAATAAAACTTTACAGGATTGATCTGTAGCTCAAGTCCTTGCGCATATTGCAAGGGTTTTCCGGTTGAATGATTTTTGGCCGAGTTATGGCCCTTTGATAAAAAGGTGTTTTAAGCTCACCTTGCACAAAGTGCAGGTGAGCTTTTAGGATGGCCAACCAAATGGCGTCCGTCGTCTGTCGTCCGTCCACATTTTAAATATTCTAAGGACATCTTCTATGATACCACAAGGCCAATGTTAATGAAACTTGGCAGGAATACTCTTTGTATGAAGCTCTATCAAGATTGTTGAAAGTATTCCATTTCATGCAGAACTCTGGTTGCCATGGCAACCAAAGAAATATCTTTAAATATCTTCTTTTAAAGAACCGTAAGAGCTAGAGCTTAGATATTTGGCATGAAACATCTTCTAATGAGTGTCTACCAAGTTTGTTCAAATAAAAGCCCTAGGGTCAAAATTGGCCCCGACCCAGGGGATCATTGATTTTCCCTATATGCATATAGTAAAAACTTAAAAAATCTTCTTTTAAAGAACCCAAAGAGCTAGAGCTAAGATATTTGGCATGAAACATCTTCTAGTGAGTGTCTACCAAGTTTGTTCAAATAAAAGCCCTGGGGTCAAAATTGGCCCCGGCCCGGGGGGTCATTGATTTTCCCTATATGCATATAGTAAAAACTTAAAAAATCTTCTTTTAAAGAACTGTAAAAGCTAGAGCTTAGATATTTGGCATGAAACATCTTCTAGTGAATGTCTACCAAGTTTGTTCAAATAAAAGCCCTGGGGTCAAAATTGGTCCCACCCCAGGGTGTCATTGATTTTCCCTATATGCATATAGTAAAAACTTAAAAAATCTTCTTTTAAAGAACCCAAAGAGCTAGAGCTAAGATATTTAGCATGAAACATCTTCTAATGAGTGTCTACCAAGTTTGTTCAAATAAAAGCCCTGAGGTCAAAATTGGCCCTGCCCCAAGGGGTCATAGATTTTCCCTATATGCATATAGTAAAAACTTAAAAATCTTCTTTTAAAGAACCCAAAGAGCTAGAGCTAAGATATTTGACATGAAATATCTTCTAGTGAGTGTCTACCAAGTTTGTTCAAATAAAAGCCCTGGGGTCAAAATTGGCCCCGCCCCGGGGGGTCATTGATTTTCCCTATATGCATATAGTTAAAACTTAAAAAATCTTCTTTTAAAGAACCGTAAGAGCTAGAGCTTAGATATTTGGCATGAAACATCTTCTAGTGAATGTCTACCAAGTTTGTTCAAATAAAAGCCCTGGGGTCAAAATTGGCCCCGTCCCAGGCGGTCATAGATTTTCCCTATATGCATGTAGTAAAAACTTAAAAAATCTTCTTTTAAAGAACCCAAAGAGCTAGAGCTAAGATATTTAGCATGAAACATCTTCTAATGAGTGTCTACCAAGTTTGTTCAAATAAAAGCCCTGGGGTCAAAATTGGCCCCGCCCCAGGGGGTCATTGATTTTCCCTATATGCATATAGTAAAAACTTAAAAAATCTTCTTTTAAAGAACTCAAAGAGCTAGAGCTAAGATATTTAGCATGAAACATGTTCTAATGGGTGTCTACCAAGTATGTTCAAATAAAACCCCCTTCGGTCAAAACTGGCCCGGACCGAGGGTCATTGATTTTCCTTATATGTGTATAGCAAAAACTTAAAAATCTTCTTTGAAAAAACCCAAATAGCTTGAGTTTAGATATTATACATGAAACATCTTTAAGTAAATATCTACAAAGTTTGTTCAAATAAAAGCCCGGGGGTCAAAACTGGCCCTGCCCCAGGGGTGTCATTGTTTTTAACTATATGTGTATAGTAAAAACTTAAAAAATCTTCTTTTAAAAAACCCAATGAGCTAGAACTTAGATGTTTAGCATGAAACATCTTCTTATGGGTGTCTACCAAGTCTGTTCAAATAAAAGCCCTTGGGTAAAAATTGGCCCGGGGGGGGGGGGGCTATATACAGGTGAGCGACCTCAGGG